CTCTCTGAGCTCCACAGCGTCTCACAGTGGAGAGAGCACTGACTAGAGATGACTGTGTCTCTCTGAGCTCCACAGTCCTCACAGTGGAGAGAGCAATGACTAGAGATGGCACACCTCTCTCCTGACATCACAGCAAGTTCACTAGTGAAGTTCCATGACATCGTGATCGATCTGTACCCATCCAGGACTGATGGCACATGACCACTTGGGAAAAGTTGGTCAAGACACAACACAGGCTGACCCTGTCAGGGTAATGGCACAGCACACCTGAGCTTGACCTGCACTGCAAGTGAATGCTTTAATCAGTCAGGAGAGCTCCAGCTGCAATGTGAGTATGTGTTCATGCTTATGCAGTTTGCTGTTGAATCCCCAGTGTAGACCAGAGACAAGAGTGTGTGTCTGAAGTGTGTAACGCTTCGGGGTACAAATAAACATAAGAAAGGTGGGAACAGAACTCGTAATTCTGCATCTGAAAGTCAAGGGTCAGCAGTGGCAATGGTCCCGCCATCAAGCAGTGTGTGTCCAGTCAGGGGCAGTGAGTGTCCAGTCAGAGGCAGGGTGCGTCCAATCAGAGGCAGTGAGTGTCCAATCAGAGGCAGTGAGTGTCCAATCAGGGGCAGTGTGTGTCCAATCAGGGGAAGCGTGTGTCCAATCAGGGGAAGCGTGTGTCCAGTTAGGGGCAGTGAGTGTCCAATCAGAAGCAGTGTGTGTCCAATCAGGGGCAGTGTGTGTCCAATCAGGGGCAGCGAGTGTCCAGTCAGGGGCAGTATACATTGTCCCAGTGACAGTACATGTGTGCAGCCAGGTGCAGTGTGTATATCTTCTGAGTGAGAGACAGTGTGTCCACTCAAAGTGTCCAGCCAGTGTCCAGTATGTAAAACCGCTCTCTGCATCGCCTCACCCAGCAGGTTAATTTTAGCAGAGCTATTTCGGCTCCTGCTGAGAGGCCACGCTGAGAGAGGTTATTAGACCAAACTGAAGTGTGCTGAGACAACTGGGGAAACTCATTCACTGATACGGCCACATCCACACGTCTGCATTGCTACACTAGTGAGGGCCTCCTGTCGGCCCCTTTGACATTCATTCTATTTTTATTTACTAGTCTTTACTCTGCTGAAATGAAACTCCACACGGGGTGGAAGTAGACCTGAAAATATTCTTGGTACTTTCAGATTTTAAAACAGACACCATTCAATTGACAGAAAAAGTAACTGCTCAGCGGTTCTCATTAATACGTTTTCTCCAATTGGATTGTCACACTAAATACCTGTACACACTACAACACTTCTTTACT